CGGAAGGGCAAAAACTGAAGAAAATCTTAAATTCCAAATTTTTATTTGTTTTCAATTTTTTTTTTTAGTCACATCCACATGAGGATGCAACTTGTCCAAAATTCGATCTATTAGAAAAATGGCATATTGCAAATAAATTTTGTTTTAGTGGCTTAAAAAGCTTTAATTTCATGGAATGTGCCTAAAAATCAGTAGCGGACTAAGGGGGGGGGGGGGGCGGTCCGCCCCGGGCCCCGCGATCAAGGGGGCCCCGCAAGGGGCCTTTGGCACTAAAAAGAGTCAAGAACTTGACATTGAGATTGAAAATCGACAAAGGCGAAGAAAGAGGAAACTTTTACCAGGCGAGCTAGACACAGAATCCAATGTCACTGTCCCAGAGGAAAATCGAAGATCAATGTACGAGTGTTTGGATCGTTTCATTCAGGAACTTCAAGAGAGGTTAAGCGCAATGAGGAAAATTTCCGATACATTCCAAGTCGTCCAGTCTAATTTTCTCATGAATGCGTCGGAGACGGATATTTCATCTGCTGTACGAGAACTGAATCAAGTGTATCATGATTTCGACGAAGAAGAAATTTCTCAAGAAGTGAAAAGATTGCGGAGACACATTCGAGGAACGAATACAACGATCGAAGCAGCCAGTTCATGGACGACAAAAGAAACGCTTCAGTTTATCATAACGTGGGACTTTAATGAATCTTTGCCAAATCTTTGCCTCATTCTGAAGTATTTTTTGACGATATGTGTATCAGTGGCTTCATGCGAAAGAAGTTTTTCGAAATTGAAACTGATTAAAAATTACTTGAGGTCGACGATGAGTGAACAAAGATTGAACAGTCTGGCCATCTTGTCCATCGAGAGACAAATCGCGTCCACAATAGATTTCGACGAAGTGATCAACAAATTCTCTTCAATTAAAGCAAGAAAACACAAACTTCAATTTGTTTGAAAGTAAAATGCTCGTGTCGAATTGTAGTTTCATATTGTGAATAAATTTATTTCTTGTTAAAGAATTTTATTCTTTGGGGGGGTCCCCAAGACAAAACCGCCCCGGGCCTCAAAAGTCCTTAGTCCTTAGTCCCGCCACTGCTAAAAATATTAAATTTTAAATGAGTATTCGAAAACGTAATCTCTCAATATATAAACCCATTGAAACCCATAAATATTTCAAAACCCATTTTTAAAGTCTCAAAGGGATATTTTCCCGGAACTTTACCCAAAAATCCACTTAATTTGGAAAAACAATTATAAGGAAATAGTAATATGTAAAAATATAGTAATTTTCGATTTTAATTTGTTAACTCCCTTAATCATTTTTAAATTGTTTTCTATTACTCTTTTCCCCACCACCTTTGAGGTAGAGTACAAGGCGCGTTTTTTTAAGTGGTAATCCCCGAGAGGCCTAATCCACCATACTAAATTACCAGTCTAATTTAGGTTTCTTCGCTGGCACAGGCGCCTCGTCTTCGTTGACCACCTCCTCATGAATCTGCAACTTGCTCCCCTCCAGTGCAATGCGCCTGAAAAAACCTTTTTGTAAAATATATATATTTAATATATAAAAACTTACAATTCCCTCAAATCCTTGTGCATTATTTGGCTGAGGACAGTTGCCAAAGTTGCCATTAAGGCAACTGCCTCATTTGGATCTGCAAGGGCCGGATGTTTAAGAAATGCATCCTCGGCACCGAAGTGCATTTTGTTGGCCAGCCTGGCCCCCATTCTTTCTAGGTGGTTCGAGTTGACCTTGACTAATGCTGAACGATTTTGTTGGGAATTTTTTAAACAAATTCATAAGAAGGGCCTCAAGGGCAAGCCGCTAAAAGTAATGAAAAAAAAATAAAAAATATTATTATATTAATTTATTTTGAGAAACCTACCTCCTCATTGTACCGGTCATGTAAGGCTAAGGGTACATTTCCCTCAACCAGCCGCTTGAAATCCAAGAGGATTTCAGCAAAATTCGACTTCGTGAATATCGGCTCATTATATAGATGGGTGGCAATTTCATCCACATAGTCCAGCCGTGATTGAGTTCCACAGAAGTGGTTTAAATCGTACAGCACTGGCACCCCATTTCGCTGCAGATAACGAATGGCCTCCAGATTGGCGGCGCACTTGTCAGCCACAGGGCCGGCCAATTTGGAGGTCAGTTCGGGGCTCTTCCTAATGCACCTTATTGCCAATTGGACTCCTTGCAAAATTGCCGCCGAACCCATCTTTTCCATGCCACTTGATGCCTATAAAAAAAATAAATTAATTTCATTTAAAAAATAAGTTTTTATTTATTACTTACTGTTCGCAAATAGATAATTTGCAAATGTCCTTTAAAATTGGATGCCGCTATGGCAAAGATTTTCCAGTACTTTAATGGATTCGGAGCACTCTGTTGAAAATATATGTATATATATATATATATTTATTTTATATAGAAACATTTGCATACTTACATTGACATTTTTTATGGGTAATTCGTCAAATATTAGAAAAAAGGGTTCGTCCACCATGACAAACTGGAGATTGCTCTCAATCATGGTGAACCCCTCTCTCAGATTCGCTGTTCTTTTTCCTATCCATTTTTCAAACTCTTCTGTGAATTCAATTTTTTTCAAAGATTTTACGTACTCCATGGTCACAAAAATTTGCAAAGTAAATTGACATTAGTAATATGAGTTTGCTAAAAACTTAGTACAGAGTTGCCAATGTTAGAACTACTATAATAATACTTAATATTAATACTACTATATATTAATATTCCAATTTGATATTCTTAATTATTATTATATTTTTGAATATTTACATGCATATATTTAAGATCAAATTTGCATTTTCATAAATTAGTACTAACAATTTTTCAAATTAATTAGTCTTTAAAACATAACCTTTTTTCGTTCGATAAAAGGTTCATGAACCGGAACCAATCAAAGTTATCTCATTGCAGTCAAAATTTGCAACATTTTTATTTGCACATAATTTTTATTAATATAATTTTCATTTGAATATGTTCAATATAAACTGCGTAAGTATTTAATGTTTACTTTGTATTATTGCAATTAATTTGTTTTTTGTCTAGAATGTTACAATCGTTACCACCAACGCGCCTAAGACGCCAAAGACGGCAAAGATTCCAAAGACTCCCCTGACCTGGGAGGAGTTGATTGACGAGGAGGACGACGTGGTGGAGCCGCCGCTGACCTGGGAGGAGTTGATTGACGAGGAGGACGACGTGGTGGAGCCGCCGCCTAAGACGCCAAAGACGGCAAAGACTCCCCTGACCTGGGAGGAGTTGATTGGTGAGGAAAAAAAAAATAAAATAAAAACGGATAAAGTACTCAAAATAAAAAAAAATATAAATAAGAAAATCAGAACCCAATTAAAAAACCAAAGAAGATTCTTTGGGAGATGTTGAAGGCCTCAAGGCCCGCAAACAACTGACCATAATAGGGACAGCCTTGTCTATTTATATAAAACAAATGGCTCATCAAAATGTTGCCAATGCTTAACACGTTTTGTCGAAAGTGTTTGTATGCTATTTGGTCACACTTTTAAAGCCATTTAAAATTTTTTTTTCAGACATTTCATACATAATTGGTCTAATGTAGGACAGTAAAATAGACCAATAGACATTTTTTTTTATTTCAATAAAATAAACCCAAATTTCATCACCAATAAGTTTCTAAAATAACACCCTTAATATTAATTAATAATATCATAATATAATATTAGAATATTAGAATATTAAATAGAGTCTAATACATTGGCAACTCTATACTAAATATGGCGTAAATACTTACTTGGCAATCCATGTTACTAATACGTGCAAATTTTAGTACGTATTAATTGTTTTGAAAATTTTTGTGATCAAAATGGAGTATTTGAAATCATAACAAAATGATTGCCATTTCTGGCAGCTGTACTAATTAAACAAAGTAATTTAAAAGGCTAGCTGGAAAAGCAAAAGCTAATTGTTTTTGTTTTTATTTTATTATTACAAATACTAAATTAAATTCAATTAAAAAAAGATTATATTTGGGTCTAAGCTTATAAAAATCTCAAAGAAAGATGTCACCTATCTCTGCCCACTCCACGCCCCAAACCCAGTGTTTATATTATTTTGTTGCTCTTGCTTGTATATACATATTTCCCCCGCAGACATTGTCCTCGAACAACAAAAGTTGTGTTGGCCAACCAACTCTTCATTTCGGCCATTCAAGCCCAGATCCTCCATCTTAAAGCGGCTAAAAAACTTACCGCTGTTAGCTGAAATCTGTTTGGTTTAAGCCCGGCTGGCAAATGCTGCAACCATTGCAGCATTGAAATGTGGGTCGTTTACTGTAATGTTGTTTTAAAGAGGTGGCCTTATTTATTATTTAAATTTAATCAGGGAGAATTGTTTGTAAAGAAACCCGGTTCGATCGATGGGATGGTAAGTAAGACCTTCAGTACTTAAAGTTTTTCTTAGTTTTTTAATAAAAGTTAATTATATTATTAATTTTAAGTTATAAAATCTCTGGATTTTTTGAGTTTTATTTTAAAATTATATTGTCGTTTTTATGAATTCCTCCGTTAACTTAATTCTATTTCAAAAATGTTTCAAAACCCATTTTTAAAACGTTTAAAACTTAATGTATGAATCAAAGGGATATTTTCCCGGAAAATATCCGGGACCATTTGAAAATTTAATCTCTTAATATAGAAACCTATAGTTTTAAGGTTCTTCTATTATATGAATTTAAGTTATGTCTCAAAGATGGAAATACCCATACGAATAGACCGTTAAAAATCTTTCGATAATTCCAATTTGTATTCAGTTTTCTTATGGAGAACCTACCTGCTGGCCAAAGTTTTTACCTGATTGGACGTTAAGCGGTTAAATAAGGATGTACCTGACTAAAGAAACACCTTGCTAGGCTTTACCTAATCCTTCCTTCTATGGTTTGGTTATATGGTATCGTGTGTATATAACCCTGAATCTATCATCCACTGGTTAGTTCAGTATCATGTCCCGACGCACAGAGTCACGTTTCATTTTTGATATTGAAGAAAACACGCGAATTTTTCGCCACCAACGTTTTGTAAATGGATCACGGAGAACTGATTGTCCTTCCTGCGAAAGTCGAGTGCCATCCAACGAACCGTACAGTCATCACTGGCTGAATGATCCCAACAGCATCCAGTTAGGCCACGATGAGAAGGCGATCCTGAAAACAATCGATGATCAGCACATTGAGACTTTCATCCTGTGCGATAGCAGTCTACCAGCAAGGACAAATGACTTTCTTTTGGATGCCGGGATGGATGCAGTGCCGCAGTTGCTGAGATTCCTTAGTTTTGGAACGGAAAAATTAGACGCCACCGTTGGCTTTTATGTCGATGTGAAAAAGGAACGCATGTACTACGAAAGTAGTCCATTGACTATTGAAAACCATCTCGATATCGGAGAGGCAGTGGACATGATATTCTCCATGCTGCTAGAAAAGATTAGCAACTATGTGCTATTGCACCAAAGAGTTCCGTTGGAGGCCTGTGTTATTCGAAGGATGAAGCTGACTGTCCGAAGACACTGCCATACCTCAACCTCAAGCTGCAACTACAAACTGCCTTTACAATATCGCGTCAAAAACGCAGCAGGTGGCAGTAAGACCCCCAATACAGATCTTGCTCTGATTGCTGAAAATTATTTAAAACATCCCGAGAAAGGAAGACCAATTCCCCAAAATCTGAAATTAAACCTTTACTGTTTTCGGGTCTGCTCCACATCCAAAGAATTGTACGCAGTTCCATATTTACTTCGCGGCGAGGATGTGGAAAACACACCCACATTTGCAATAAAAACAGATGTTATTGGCGGTTTTTGTGGTCTTCAGGAAGTCCATAATATCCGTAAATTCCTGCGGACCGACACCAAGGATCGAGTGACCGAATGTCGCCAGTGTCAGGCCCATTTCGTGGACCGAGTTCACTTCGCCCTCCATAAACAAATCGACTGTGGACGCGGATTCATGGTTTGGCACATGGACAAGGAAGCTATCGAGTTGCACGAAAACTGCCTGCCTTTGCCGAAAGAATTCTTTAAGTACGAATGGATTGGAGTAGGCGGTAAAAGAAGCTAATCTGTAATAATATATAAATATTTTAAAATAAAAATCATTCAAAATGCATAACAAAGCTGTTTTACTTGTATAAAATATGAACCAACCGAATATTTGAATTTCGCGCGTTGCGCAATGAAGTATTTTGTAGAAGACAGTATTTTGTAGTATTTTTTGCTGGTTATCGAAATATATATTTTTCTGGTCACACAATTTATTGCAAAATTTTGCCGACCAAGTTTGTATATTTCTTCAATTGTGGTAAAAATGAATCCACTGGACAAAATTCACGCTCTGGATGAGATTGAAAAGGAGATTATCCTATGCATGCAGAGTGCAGGTGAGAGAAATGGGAAATCCCAAGAGATCTTTAGTCTAAAATGGGTTGAATTCTCAGGTCAGGCCTTGCAAGAGCTGGGAAAGGAAAAATCTTCACAAAAAAATGCCGAAACTCAATCGCAACAATTTCTTAAAAGCCTTTCGAGTGTGGAATCTAAACTTTCCGAGCAGATCAACTACCTAACCCAGGTTTCCACCGGACAGCCACACGAAGGTTCTGGCTACGCTTCAGCAAAGGTGCTGCAAATGGCCTGGCACCGCATTCAACATGCCAGATCCCGGGTGCGAGAATTGGAGGAAACCAAGGCGAAGCATTCGCATGCAGCCCGTCAACAACAAAAACGACAGCAGGAGCACGCCGCCGCTCAACAGCAGCAGCAACAACAACAACAACAGCAGCAGCAGCAACAACAACAGCAGCAGCAGGCGGCTCAACAGCAGCAATCTAGTGGAAGCAGTGGGGGTGTAGGAGCCTCTGGAGGAGGAGATCATCCAATGGGCAGCGACAGCAATATGTCAACCAACTAATCATAAACTGGGTATACCGTTTAAAATTAAAGATAAGACTTAAGGTTTAAGATATAGAGATATAAAGATATATATCAAGCGGATTTCTTCCACCGGATAAATCTCTGAAGATAAGCGTAAGTAATGCATTTACAAAAAAGAACTCTGGGAAATAAATTTGTACTGTATATTTAATGATTCTTCAATGGGAGCCCTATAAATTATCACAAGCTGGAGGTTTCTCTTGAGGTTGACCAATGCCAAAGAAATTCTTTTGGCAGACATGACGGACGCACTGCAGCAGAATATTCCTTTCATGTATTATATCCTTTGCCAAAAGCTTCGACAACAAAGTGTTCTGCGGTGCAGACCTTCTAGCTCTTTTGTAGTTTAAGCCGTAAACACGTTTGGGCGCAGGACGCTTTTCCGGTGGTTTTGGTTTCGTTGCTTCACTTGAGGTGGATTTCTCGACAGTTTCAATTATGGTTTCAGTTACCCGTTCAAAAGGTACTTCGACTGGTGCTTCATCAGAGGACTCCGCCTTTTCTGGGTCAGGCTGAGCTGTGTCTGCTAATGGCTCTTTGATTTTCTGAATAGGTTCTTCCTCGGGTGCTTCATCTGAAGAGCAATCTCTTTCCGCAGTAGAGACATTTTCACTAATAACCACTTTTGTTGAAGGGCTTGGACTATCATCACTTTGTTCTATATCTTTAACTTCTTTACACTTTGGACCTTCATCTTCTGCTCCTTTTCCGATTGCCTCAGAATCAGATTCTTCCCTTTGCTTTAAATTTGCAGGCTCTTCAGCCTTTGGACTTTCATCTTCATTCTGTTCTTCAATCTCCTCAGAGTCAGATTCACTTTCTTCCTCACTATCTGAGCCATACATGCCCACTAAACCAAATATGGCATTGTCCTCCTTTTTGACTTTATCTTTAAGGTGTTTATAGTCTGCCATCTGACCAGTTCCTTGAAACTTTTTTAGTTCATTCGAGGTGGTGTCCTCTTCCTGTTGTCCAGCTTGAGGTTCAGATGGTTGAATTATTGGTTCAGACGTAGATCTTTGGTTCTTGTTCTTTTCAAGGAAATATTCTTTTCTTTTTTGTCTGCTCCTGGCTTTGGAATCCTGTCTGTTTTGGCCCTTTTGAATCCTTTGTCGATCTTCTCGTCTTCCGAATCTTGACTTGGAAGCCTCCAACCGCTCCCCGCGTTTCATCCGCTGCTCTTTAGCCAGTCGGGCCAGTTCTACATTAGCTGCAGTTGGAAATCTACAACAGGAATACAATTATATTCGAATTCTTAGCTATAAAAATGGCAATAACTTACTTCTTTCTCCTTTCTGCCCTCCATGCTGCCAAGTCCTCGGCTGTCCAAACTTTCTTCACCTTTTTGTAAGCACCAGTGATGTGGTGAGCTTCTATATGCCTTTCCAGAATACTGTGAAGAGCTGCAAAGTCGCAATTCTCAGCAGGACATTCCTCATGTTGCTCCAAATGCCGCTTCATATCCTGGGAATTGGCAAGTTGCATTCCACAGGTATAACACTGCTCCGGAACGGCAGGACAATCGTAAACCGGAGGAGTTTCAGGCACAGGAGGTGGAACATTCTATCATAATCAAAATAAACATACTATTAGCAACAAAAACATTTGCTTTTGTTAGAGACTTACTTGCTCCTTGGCCAGAAACTTGGCAGGAACTGTTGATCCTCGTGCGCCGTACATGGGCGGAGGTTGCTTTGCCCTTGGCAGCAGGGTCATCCCACAGGGGGTGAGGTAGTGTGTGTTGGCCTGGCTGGGTCCATTAGGTTTGTCAAACTTGGGCGATGGAAGCAGGAATTTCGGTTGGACTTTTTCTTCCATTTCGCAGCGTTGAAGACGTTGAAGACAATGTGCGCGTTAGTGACCAGTAAGACCAAAGTTGTAAAATATACCATAATATACTAAAAAATGGTTTATTCATAATTTTAATTTAAGCAATAATTTAACATTAATAAGTAATCATATCTGTTCAACTTTAATATTGAAGAAATATTCAAATTAAAATAAAATATATAGTATTAAAGGTATCTCCTATCGATATCACCACCCACATCGATAACATTTAATTAATGTGCCCGCACTACTGTTGTTGTGGCCAGCAACAAAAACAACAATTAGCTGGGAAGTGCAAGTCAATTGATAGCCAACTGAATTGGTATTAACTAAGTTTAGGCGTTTAGATTAGTTTGAATACTCAGCGGGTGGTAAGATGCAAAGTGTTCTGAACACCGTGAAAGGAACGGCGCTGAACGTAGCCGAATATCTTACGCCTGTTTTAAAGGTAATAAAGAAAGTGCAACAACGATGAAAGAAAAACTATGATTATCACCTAGATCAAGTTTTTTATACGTATACACAGCGGTTGTGTACATATATGTAGTAAAAACAATGATTAATTGAGGGTGTGTGCAAGTGCAATCCCAGTTCTAGAAAGACGGGCCCAAAGAGAGCCTGAGTTTCATGATACAATTATTGATTCCCCCTTGACCCGAAACTTTCTCATACCCCTTGGTGGCAATAAAACTGGATTCATCAGCTTTTCGCCGCCAGACTGTCGCCCCCATAAAATTAAATGAGTGCAACATACTTTCTTTTCATTTTTAGGAATCGAAATTCCGGGAGACAGGTGTTCTCACCCCAGAAGAGTTTGTGGCTGCTGGGGATCATTTGGTGCATCATTGTCCGACTTGGCAATGGGCTGCCGGTGATGAAACCAAAACAAAACCCTATTTACCCAAAGGTGAGGGCTGCGATTTGCCAATAACCATTAAATAAATTGATCAAAAATGATTTTCTCCGCACTTAGATAAGCAATTCCTGATAACCCGCAATGTGCCGTGCTATCGACGTTGCAAACAAATGGAATACGTGGGTGAGGAGACCCTGGTGGAGGAGGAATCCGGCGACGGTGGTTGGGTGGAGACCCATCAGTTGAATGATGATGGCTCTACACAGTTGGAGGACAAAATCTGTGAACTGACAATGGAGGAGACCAAGGTGGGTGGTGTTTTCAACCAATAGGGAGTACTGCTAACTGTTTTTATTCACAGGACGAAATGCAGACTCCGGACAGCGATAAATCGGCCCCGGGAGTTGGGGCTGGAGCCGAAGCCGAGGACGAAGACGACGACGAAGCCATAGACATGGACGACTTCGAGGAGAGCGGCATGCTGGATTTGGTTGACCCTGCCGTGGCCACTACTACGCGGAAAGCTGAGCCAGAAGCCAAGGCCAGCCCTGGAGCAGCTGGAGCAACAGGCGAAGCCGAAGCAACCGGCGATTCAGTGCTGCATACACGCACCTACGACCTGCACATCACATACGATAAATACTACCAGACGCCCCGGCTCTGGGTGGTTGGATACGACGAGCAGCGCAAACCCTTGACCGTCGAGCAGATGTACGAGGATGTGTCACAGGACCACGCCAAAAAGACAGTCACCATGGAGTCGCATCCGCATCTTCCGGGTCCAAATATGGCATCGGTCCATCCCTGCCGGCATGCGGACATCATGAAGAAGATCATTCAGACTGTGGAGGAGGGCGGCGGTCAGCTGGGAGTGCATTTATATTTGATAATTTTCCTGAAATTCGTTCAGACCGTCATCCCAACCATTGAATACGATTTTACGCAAAACTTTAACATGTCTTAAACCCCTTTAGATTGACGCAATGAAGTGTATGTAGCGTATAAACTGCAAGATTGTAAGCTAAAAGATCGAATAAAGTTTTGAGCAAACTGCACACATCCAAAAATTTGTGGAGATCTGTTCGTTTTTATAATTACTTTTTATTTCACTTTGCTTTTGTTGTTGGTTGGTTGCATGTTTGAAACATCTCTGAGATGAAATTGTATGTTAACATAATAATAAAGCATATTAAATCAATTGATCAAATATGCGTTGTAGTTTTAGGTAGTTTTGTTTCTAGTTAAATGATTTTTTTTTTTGTTTTTGTATTTTTTTGCATTTTTAAACAGTTTTTTAAACTTAAAATGTGTGTGTGTGTTGCTTGCATTTATATTAATCGTTTAATGTATATATAACTGTTAGATCCTTTTTTTTTTTGTTATTTTTTATGGGTTTATAGTATATATATATATAGAATTTCTTAATATTTAAAATCACTTTTCATTTGCAATAACAGGTTCACATCGTAATCAATTTTACAATAAACATACCTAACGCCATTCATGCCTGAATATACATCTATATATATATATATATTTTAATGTGTTTATCGATCCCTTTTTCTTAGCTTTCATTAACTTGTTTTCAACAACATGCCGCGCGCGTTACGTTAGACGTCAACAATTATTTCCATTACTTGTATATCTTTAAATATAACTGATCCACTTTCCTATACCTAACCTCAACTAACTTGCCAACTTTCATTGCCAACTTTTACATTATTTACCCATATTTTTTGCTGTTTACCATTTTTTTTTACATTTTATAATACATATAGAAGTTATACATACCAACTAGAAACCTAAATATATAATATATACCTAGGCAAACCTATCTATACATATAGATGTTGTCGTGCTTTTAATTTTTTGCATTTTTGTCACCACAATAATTTTGCGTCTGCCTTTCTATAACAATTGTGAAATATTTTTTGCTCCACTCCGATTTCAGTATATATCTTTTAACGACTTTTGTTTTATTTACTCTGTTTATACAGGGGGGCTCTCTGTCTATAAATTTGAAATGTGTGTGGTAATTTCGTTCTGTTTACTGCGTTTAAAGTTTTTATTTTCATTAAATTTTATAAGGTACGTTTTGTTTAAGCGCAATGCCTAGAAAAAAATTAAGGCAATGAATAGAATAGAACTCTGACAAAGTTAAAACCAAAACAATTAGGTAACTAATTTCAAAGAAAAGTGTCTAATCTGCTAACTTAATATTCGAATTAAAAATGTTTGCCACAAAAAAGGTTTCTTTAAATATATATTTTATTTGGTTTGTTTATTTCGATTTTTGATTTTTTTTACAATATACGTGAATTGAATTCGATTCTGTTCCATCTCATTGCCAAAATTCTTGACTAAGCATGTGTTACTTTTAGTTTTAACAGTTATATAGCTTGTTTTTTATCCGGTTTTTATTTAGATATAATTTGTTTAGTTGAATCTGATTTATAATTTGCCTTGCACAAAATATATTATGTATTTGAAATACAAGCTTTACACATCATTCTGGTTGCTGACATTGAAACAATTACATTTTTTCTTGAAATTTACAAACAGTTGAAACTTGCAGCTAATTTTAAATATATGTGTAAGTATATTAACTATATAGTTTTTAAACATGATCGTTATTAATATATAATTTCTTGCTCATCTTCTGTTTCTTCATCGTTTTGTAGGTAGTTGTTTGCATTGTTTTCTTAGACTTAAAATGAAATTACAAGTATAATATACACATACATTCATACCATGAACACCTAAATTTGCTTTGTTTTATTTTCTTTGTATGGATTTTTCTTAGTTTTTTGCTTTTTGTTTTTGTAAATTTTATTTATTTATCATTTTGTCGTTTAGATTAGACGCAAATACTATGCAAGACACTTGGCGCAAAAATTACAAGAAACGAAATAGAAATTTGAAAGAAAAACTATAGTTAAACCAAATACTAGTTAAAAAGTTGTAGGACGCTTTAAAATGACGCCAATTTACATACAAATATATATAGATTTGTTTTTATCCATAAGTATCGTATATAGGTATATAAAAATAAAATTTCTTATGCTTCTTTCTGGTTTTTTTTTGTTATTTTGTTGTAACACCTAAAGAAAGTTGGGTTCCTCCTTGCCATCTATATTATTTATAGAATTATTCATACGCCTACATTTATATTCTCGTTTAGGTTCAATGTGTTTTAAAAATTGCTTTATCAGGGACTACAAATAAAACACGAATTAATTTAAGACAAATTAATTAAACATTAGTTAAACATAAACTAGACCTAGCCGTAAACGTAATAATAATTAACATTGTTTCAACAAATGTGTGTGTGTGTGTGTGTTGTGTGTATATAGGTGTGATAGTTGGTGGTGTTGGTGGTAGTAGTGATGATGCATTTCCATATACATATTATATATAGAATTTTATCCTCCTCCGTTCGCATAGCATTTAAACATCCATATTCTGGCTGCCCCCGGGGGCTCGTGCTTTGCTCCACATCCTGCCCCTCGCTCTCGCCCTGCTATTTACACTTCATAAATGATTAAGTATTCCGTTTCGGCGTCTTCCGCCGGATTCTACACCTTGCGCTTGGCGTGCAGCATCTCCATGAGCAGGGTCTGGGTGGGTGCACTGCCGGCGACGTGCTTGGTGTACAGGTGCTCCTCGCCGCGGGCGGCCATGGCATGGATTTCTGGTAGGATATTAACTAGCCTACGGAATTTTTCCTAAAAAAAATAAGAGTATTATTTTATTATTTTATATAAATACAAAAAACTTTATAGGTAACTTACAGTAACTGATGGATAACATGTGAGCGTGTAATCCAGCATAGCAGCTTGCACATTATCATGTCCATCGGAGACGGTCTTTCGGTTTACAATACCCCGCACATCTAACAAGAGTTATAGATTTGTTAAATTATATTTCTTCTATAAGATCCTTCTCTTTGGACTTACCTGGATTCAACAGGATTAGGAATTTCATGCAGACATAGTCGCCCATATCGAATTTCAGATCTCGCAGCTTGTTCTGCAGCTCATTGAAGTAATCGGCCAGCTGTGGAACTCCCAACAGTCCCAGGCTCAGGAGATTGAAGACCTGGCCATTATTCAGCTGCGTCTCATCCGGCAGGCCGTTGTGGATGCGATGGTGCAGGTGATCCAGGACCAGCATATCGGACCAAGAATGCTGCAGCAGCTTCATTTGGTCATCGACCTGGTTTTGGAAGAGAAATAAAAATAATTTTATTAGAAAGAATTTTATAAAAATATTCTTTAAAGGTTTTATTAAGAGAGGAATTATAGTTGCCACTAAAAAATAGCTAGAATTTCTTTTACAGGTTTAATCCTAAAGGAAGGATATTTTATTTAAAATAAAATGAGGATTCAGAAGAATCTATCTTTATTTAATATTTAATTTTCTTAAAAAACCACTCAATGATCTTTTAATATCAATTTTTTTGAATGGCAACTAGTCTCAGTTGGTTCAATAGATACGTTTTCTAAGATGATATGGTATGAAGATATTGGATAGGCCTAGTTTTGGATGGTATTACAAAACGCCCCCTCTTGGTCTCTCAGATTCTCTTCTCACTGTCTCAAAGTCTCTCCCTCATGGTATGGAATGGTATGGTATGGGTGAGCACATCAGCTTCAGTTGCGTCATGGAGACGCGAGAGACGCTGCCGCTTGGCCGCTTGGCTGACTGGCTGACTGGCTTACTGACTGGTTCAGCTTTGGTTGCTAAGTAGGTCAGACGCCAAATGAAATCGAAATTCAATGCAGATTCGAGCACTCGCGACGAGCTGGCTGCGCTGTCGTCGTACGCGTCGCTGTTGCTGTTGCTGTTGCTGTCACTGTCGATGTCGACGTCGCTGTCGGTCGTTGGTGGTTTACATAACATGCCGCAGACTTGGCCCCTAGCTTGAAAACTGGTTTCTGGCTTTTAAACCAAAACATGGTGGCTGTCGCCTGTTGGATTTTATGATTTCTGATTTCTGATTTAATCGCTGCTGCTGCTGATGCTGCTCGAATATGTGTGGAATATGGTATTTGGGGGTTATCCTTTGGCATTACCTTGAGGTCCTTGAAGAAGACTGTGTTGCGTGCCCAGTCGACTTGCGAGAACAAGTTCTGGTCGAGCACTTTGCACATCAGCTCGAAGAGATCCACCTCCACCTGGTTGTGGGTTTGCTTCTGCAGCAGCGCGAACAGTTGCGTCTGCCATTCCTGATCGTCGATCGATTGCACAAATTCACGAATCATCGGTGAGACTCTGAAAATTAATAATATATATTTAATAGATATATCTTTGATGGAGAAATCCTTCCAAAAAACTCACCTTAATGGCTCGATAAGCGCGTCGGCTGTGCTCGATGGATGGGTGCCGGAATCAAAGCTTTTTACAGAAAAATTATATAAAAAGAGGTTTGATTAATAAGTACTTTAATTTAATTATAATTGGTCTAAGCATCAAGTGACAATTTAAGAATTTGAAAGAAATAGGTAACCGCAAAGATAGTTTTAAAAATTTTAAGAAAAATCTAAAAAACAAAACAAAAGATTGAATTTTTCTTTTGATTTTTTGGGTCAAAGGTTGAATAACTTTTGGATACTGTTCTTGATGTGATTCTGGTTCTGGTTGTTGTTGTTGTAAATACCACGATTTCGAGTCGGCCGTATTCTGCAGAGATCCTATTCCAGCCTCGTGGCAATTGCTGTTGCCATTGCGATGCAGGCCATCGGCGGAACCGTAGCCCCCACCACCGCCGCCCGCATTATTGCCGCCACCTCCGCCCACGCCGGTTGCACTGTTGCCCGTGCTGCCGGCGTTGTTGTTGCCGCTGCTGTTGCTGCCGTTGCTGCTATTGCCATTTCCCAAGGAACTGGGACCGTTCAGGCCCCCGCCGCCGCCACTGCCGCCGTTTCCGGCGTTCATGGGCGTGGCTATCACTCCGCCCGTACTGGCATTCACCTGACCCAACGCAATCGCAATGGGGCTGGGCGACGAGTCCGGCGATTGGGTGAGTGAGGATACCTTAAAAAAATTGAAATATTTTAAATTAAATGCCCTGGACGTTAGGCCTTTAGGACTTTCAGCTCACCTGAGGTATTTGAATTTCCTGCTTAATGTTCATATTTGGATATGCTTGCTGGTAGCCCGACGAGATCGGCGTTGGCTTGATGTCCGGGCCCATGGAGTTCCGCAGCGCCTGCAACGCCAACTGCCGCTGCCGCATCACCTGCAGCTTCCGCGCCCGATCCCGCTTGTACATGGGTCCGAACTTGTTGCGTCCACCTCGCATGCGATCCGCTCGGACAGCTGGAAAGGAATATAATATTTAAACTTTAATTGAAGTCATTAAAGAATAAAATATTAAAATCTAGATTAATGAGTCAAATTGTGGGGGAAATCCTTGTCAAGATTTACAAAAGTTTTTATTGAATGATTAGCGAAAACTATAAAACTATATATAACTTAACCCATAGCTTATATTGATTTATTAGGTGACCTGATTTCATAATTCTTTACATTTTTATTTTATCTTCATAAATTAATTATATTCTGAATAATTTAAAGCATTTAAATATAAATCTGATATAATTTTTTTCACATATGTTATTCACATAACAATTATGGCCTCATAAATCACTTTGATGGCTTTGTTATAGCCACAAAAGAATATAATTTTCAAACAACCAACATTTTAGTGACCCCTTAGTGAAAAATTGCAAAAAATTCTATTCATTTCATATTTCTCATTAAGAACCAACTCATAACAGGCCAGGGCTTGACAAAAACAAAGCACTATACTACATTCATACATACACTCGAATATTGCACATGCATACGCACATGGAGAATATTATTACATACGTACATATATTGCGCATACGCCGCATTGTACAGCGGCATCAAAACAAAAACTATACAACTGGTGCGTGTGTGGATGTGTGTTTGTGGGTTTATATGTGGGAACTCGCTAAATGAAACGCAATAAACTGCGCTTCTTATGGCGCAGCACGATAAAGTGTGTAAAAGGGGATACATTGAGAAAAATATCCATTTCGACGAGATAATTCTTAAGCGAAAAGATTTTATTGCTAAATGAATTTTCTATTTTAGATAAAGATTTAAATCCGTTTTTTAAAGAAAATAAAGGAAAAACTTTATTGAAAGAACTGAAAGTTCTTTTTGGAACTTTCTTGTTTATTTTTTCCTTTTTATTATTATTTTATTAGTTCTTCAATAAAAAAGACGTACTTTTTAAACCATAAACTCTTGAAAAGAGACAAGGATATTTAAAATATTATTTAACATTTTAATTTAAAAACATATTTCCCTAAAAACCCCATATTTTTTAAAATTTTCCCTGTGCTTAACTGAGAACTATGAGGGTGGTTTTGCGCCAAAAACAGATTGCAGTTGCAGTTGCTAGCGCCATGTTGATTAGAAGATGCAATTGTCGGGGGTTGTTTTTTTCACATCCCTCCCCGAGAAGGGTGGGCCATGGGCGGCAGGTGGCCACCTATATGGCTACCATAAAATATGCATTTCAAATGCAAAAGCAAACGGAAAAATATAAAAAGAAACAACAAAAAAAACACAAACAGACACACTCGTGCATTTTTCACGCGAATATGCAATTTTTGTGCACTGAACAAGTAACTGTAATTTAGGTCAAGCGTATTGTTTACAAATAATCAACATACATACACACCTACATACATACATACAGAGATATGCGTTTGAACGGGGTTAGTGTTAGTGAGCGGGTCTCTTTTGAAATCTTTTGAGGTCTCTCTCGCTCTCTGGAACGATTATGTCGTCTTTTGGCTTGGCAACGCGAAAGAGCTTTCTATTACGAAATTTCTCTCTCTCCTCCATCTCTCTCTCTCAAATGTAACACACACACTCAAACAAAGAGAGCCAGAGCCGAAGACTGAGCGGCTTCCATCCGCATTAGACAACTTTGTTGAGTGGAGTAGGTCAAGGACAGTGTGTGTGAAAACTGGGACAACACGGCCATTGTTGTTGCCTGCCAACTCTCCCAAAAAAAAAATAACAAGAAACAATCACTCTCACTCTCTGCTCTTTCTCTAGTTGCCGAGTGAATGTGTGTTTGTATGGGGGGTATTAGGAAAGTTGTTTGTATTTGTGGGCGACTTACAGCCTTACCGTTTTTTATGTCTTTTCCGGCTTTGAGCCAAGTCTATTTATGTTGAGCAAGGTAAAATCCGTTCAATCGATTGGAGATTTATGGAGTTAATAAAAACCGCTACACCCGCCCCTCTCTTTCCACTCTTTCTCTTTTAATTTGTTGATCCATTTTATTTTGGTGTACCGCTATTACCATTTTTTTTTTGTCTCTTACATAATTTCCTAATGCTCTCATAGCCCATGTCACCTTAATGATAATCATGATAATTAGATAAAATATCATAATAAATTACAGACCCTATACTTTTGGAGATATGATACTTTTTCTGATCTATTATAACTATTATATGATGGTAAGTCTATTATATAACTTCCTAGCCCTTGTTGACATTCTTTTTTTTTTAGTTTTTTATTTAAATTTGAAGGTTTTTAGTTGCTTTCGATGTGAAAAGCGGTTTGAGTGGGGTTAAGTGGTTCAATTTGTATGTAAAAAAAAGAAATGTGTTTGTTGAAAGTTGGTCTCGCCCTCAAAAAGAGATGTTTTCTTTTTTTTCACATCTAGCTAGCCGGGAAATCAATAAATGGCCTGTCACTTCCTCTTAACGAAGGCGTTTTTTTGTGCCTTTTAAATGTTACTTTTAAAACTGGCAACCAAACCAGGCACACACACACAATTTGTTTGCCACTGATGTGGGTCAACGGTGCGTATGAGTAACTTTTTTAAGCCTAGCAAGGGTTTTCGGTTTAGTTTCTGTGGCATATGTTGGTATTTTGGTTATTAACTTTATTGACAGAGAAAAAAATATATAATCGTGATGGTTTAATCAATTTTTTTTTCGAACAAAGGCAATGGGGCGTATACGCAATATTAAGTATACGCCGTGGGTAACCAAAATGTAGGATGAAAATGTTTCTAGCTTAAAGAAACGCGCTTGTTTTTATAATTATTTATTTTTCTAAGTAATATTACCTTAAAAAAAACAAAAACCTTTTATTAAGTATACGCCATGTGGTATAAGGGGAAGGCAAACGATATGTAATTATTTATGCCATTCACTATTTTTTATTCACCCTCAAAAAACCACATAAAAAGAAACAAAATGTTTTCTGTTCACTTGAAACGAATTCCCCTGACAACAGAAATGGTAAATGGTAATCTACCAATCTTAATTTGTGACATGTTTAAATAAAATTTAACAATTCCCAGAGTGGCAAGCCAAGAAAAAGAAATCCGCAAAAGTCCCTATTGTTCCGACCTTAGCAACAACAACATATGGCATATAAACCATGTGAGTCATATCCAATTTAACCCAGCAAAGCCGAAAGTAACGCGCTGGCTTTAAAGCCACCAACAAGAAAAAAAAAAAAAGAAAAAACTAAAGTCACAAAATCCAAAAGCGGCTAAAAATTGCCGCAATTATAAAGACCAAAAAACCAAAGCCTGACTGAGAGATATCATGGGGGGGATGATGGGGGAGTGGGAATGGGAAGAGGAAGGAGAGCCACTGACGAAAGAGATTTCACAACAAAAGCAAAAACAAAACGGAAGGACGGAAAGAGACGGAACGGAACGAACAACAACAACAACAATAAAAACAAGCCAAAGGCAAAGGCAAGGCAAAGTCAAAGCAAGAAACGAGAAAATGTTCGTAATAATTCAGTGAGTATTAAAAATAAAATATACACGAACACACAGTCCAATAAGCGGCTCTCTACATGTTGCATTGATTACACACACACACAGACACATTCAAGAGAGACAAACATTTTGCCATATCACGTGCACTCACACCACAGCACATTGGAATCTAGGTCATGAGCGCAAGAGATGGCACTATGGGCCAAGTACACGAAAGCGGAACCGAGATGGCGATACGTTGATATACGTATATTGCACACTACTACTGTCGGTGCCGTGCCTCTGCTGGCGTCACAGTCGGCGCCGCAGCACCGCCTGACTCAAGAGTATATGCGTTTGGGAGTGTGTGTTTGGGAGAGGAGCTATTCTCGTTGGTGTGTGTGTGTGTGAGCGCCATAAGACAACAAATAAAACTCAAATAAAAAATGAATTTTGTTCGAATAATCGTAAAAAAAAAAGAAGCGGAAGCAGGCTAAATTGTCGGATGTAATTTTCACAATTTTATTGAAATTTAAATGCAAATATTTATTGATTTTATAATATATTTGACAGAAGTATGCTAAATAATGGATGAAAATTGGAAGCAACCCATAAACGATTTCGCAGTCCAGTAATCACACCATTTTCACACTTTTCACACTTTGCATAATAATTGCCAGTGCCACATCCACAACATGTGGCAAGGCGCAAGTGAGCGTTGCAAATGATAAAGTAACAAACAAAAACAAAAATTGCGCGCGCTCGTTTGAATTCAGTCCACCAAAGCAGTCAGTCAGGAAAAACGGCAAGAAAAAAAAAACTATTACAAAATTCAAACAATTTTTTTTTTTGTGAAAAAGAGAGCAAAACCTGAAGCCGAGTTTTGAGGTCTCTCTTTAGGCGGCCGCTGTTTTGGGTTTTTTGTTTTGACCCTCTCCCGGCTCTCTCATCAATCTTGCCAGGCGGCAGCCAACAGAAGCAGCGCAGCAGCGTCAGCGACAGCGGCTTGTTTGGCGGGTGAGGGCGTGGAATTCTTTTGGGGCCGGTGCATGCTGCACTGACTCTGTATATATACTCATACATACATATACATATATACAATATTTACAGGCATTTATGCACATATGCATGGATGTGGGTCTTATATAGTCAGCTCTCTATATATTCGCACATATTTACAAACTTACATGTCTGTGTACTATATTCACTGCACATGCTTGTTTGTGGGGCGCCCTCTCAACTTGTGTGGCAGTAGCACAAAAAAAAAAGGAAAAGTTTTTTTTTTTTATTATTATTTTCCCCTTTGACTTACGCAAAAAAAAATATATATATGTATGGGGGAAGGAAAATGAGGTAAATTTTGTTTTTTTGCGAAATGAAAAGTAATTATGCAAGTAATAAGGTAAAGCCGAAAATAATCCAGGGAGGCGAGATCCAGATGAAGGCAAAAGGCAAACTTTTATCAAAGTTCAAATTAATAAACTCGGAAAAATATTAAGAAACTCATGGTATTAATACTACAAAGGTAGGAGAGGTGAGGTAGGGAGACTGAGGGTAACGAAGATTATATAAGAAAACATGGGTATATTTTGTACAAAATATAGAATATTGTAGTTCTTTTCTGAATCTATTACATTACTATATTATTCAGTTTTTCTCTTCTCAAAAAATTGTAGGTCTAAAATATGATAGATAAAGAATAGTTCATTCTAGTTATAAAACACAGCCTAAAAAATTTAAAATAAAATTTATTTTTTGGTGAAAACATTTAAGCTAGAATGTATAAAACAGAACTAAGCTCTGCAAAAAATTTAAGGAAATCATAGGGCTAGTTATTCTTAGAAATCCTTAGAAAAAAATTACGATATAAACCCAAAAACCAAACCAGATCTAAAAAAAAGTACCTGAAACGGTATTCCAAAAACAAAACAAACTCAAAGCACAGAAAGGTAAATGAGAACGAGGTAGACCCCAAAAAAATACAAAGACTACACATTTTTATTAAAAAAAACCAAAATAAAAATAAAAACGTTGACGCAGTGACAACAATGACAAAAGCTGGCGTCATTAAGACGTGACAGAGCCAAGAACAACAAGAAGCCCCCAATCCCCCAAACCCCAACCCAATTCCGAGCAAGAAAATAAACGAAACGAACCGCAGACTGACCGACCTACCCAACAAAAATAATAATAACAAGCCGTAGTCGTTGCCGGAGCGGGAATCTCCATATAAATTGGGATAGGTCTGGGATATATGGCCGCTGAAATATGTATATTTATTAATACATTTTTAACGGTCTTGTTTATACGCCAGAAATGTTAATCCCACATTTACATAATTTTTTGTTTAATTAATCATTCGATGAATGCGTTCTCCGCAGATTGTGGAAACTCCTTGGAGACTGAAGAACCAGAAATGCTCCGAATTCCCAAAAGAATTTCAAAGTTTGATTCATTGGTTGTTGGCTTTGTAACTGCGCATTTATAAATAATAAGAAATATCGATTTAATTCCATTTCGCCATCAAAGGCGGCCCAGGCGAAAGCCAAAAACTGCAAACAAGAGGCGAGGCCCGTTCGACTTGTGTAATATATATACAATATATACCCACAGATATATATGCAGTTTCATAGTAAAATGCATTCTATGGAGGAAAGAGGTCATGGTTGAGGCTGCCAATATTTGGAATTTCGGTTCTCGTCTTTGTAAATGTCATTTCCTTGGGAGGGAAAGGGCTATGGAGGGACTGGACTATAAAAGAATCAAAGGAATTGAGGACGAATAGTTCGGAAAACATTTCTTTGTAAAAGGGAAACGGAAATGAAAGCGACAGAAAGTCAATAGATTAGAAAATAACAATATGTTTGTGAAACAATAGCACTTGAAATGGGATATAGGAAGAGTCATGAATACTATTACGTTGAGGTATGCCAGGTGTAGGAATTTTGGAAATACTTTCATAGGCTGGTCATCTTAAAAAAGCCTTTGTTTTCTTGGGGTTTTGGTTTCTGGTTCTAGTTCCATTGAGATGGTGTGATTTTAAGAGATTTTAGCAGAGTGATTTCAACACCTTTCCGTTAAAATACCAACTCTTGCTCTTTTGTTATACAATCCTTGATTCATCTTCTTCTATTCCCTATCGATTAATTAATCAAATGGGTCTCTTGTGAGGCCTAACTAAATTCCACTATCGGGTTCCTAGAAGTTTCCAATGCTAGTTGCCTGAATGAATATTAAAATGCCTCTTTTCAAAGCGCATTTCAGGGTTTTTAAACATCACTCATACGCACTGTTGTCAACAACTTTTGAGGGTCAATCGAAATACGTGACTAAGGTGGAAGTTATCTAGAAACTACGAAAGGTCTATGGATCAATTAAGTTGGGAAGTATAAGGGGATAAAAAATATACCAGATATAATATTAATTTTTAAAGAAAAACTATGACAAAGGAGGTTATAGTGTACTCATCTTATAAGCTCAATAATCAATATAATTTATACTGACTGACCTTTCACTAAAAATATATATTTTCTTATTGTGAAGAAGCTTATATTTCTTGAGAGATAAATTATTTTAAAATCGTATCTTTTCTTATTTTAATAAAGCTTATATATCTTTAAAAATTATAAAACATGTTCCCTAAGAAAAGTTTTTAAAAAAACTCACTATTTAAGGTCTTTGTTCTGATCTCTAAGATCTTAAAAAAAAGGATTATCTCTATAAAACATACCAAGACCCCCTACAGATCCCTAGTCACTTTTATAAATTCATTAATAAATTAAATAAAAATCTCAACTCACCCTCCAACTTCATGCCGACCTCGAGGCACTTCTGGAAGCGGCAGTAGGGACACCGCTTGCGCTGCGTCTTGTCGATGTGGCACGACCGCTCCGCCACACAGGTGTACACCTTCTTGTTCTGCACGGTTCGCTTGAAGAAGCCCTTGCAGGACTCGCAGGTGAGCAGGCCGTAGTGGTAGCCGCTCACCTTGTCGCCGCACACGGGGCACAGTTCCTCGAACAGATGCTTGAAGTCGATCACCTCGCCGCTGTGTCCAGGAGCAGCGCTAGTGCCGCCCATCAAGTTGCCCGGCCCAGAGCCGCCTCCGGAGCCACCGTTGTTGCCGCCGGAGTTGTTGCCCACGGAGCCGGAGGACATGTGGCCGCCATTGCCGTTATTATTGCCACTGGAGCTGGCAGCCTGGGGGAGCAGGACGTAGCCGCCGCTGCCGCCGACGGAGCTGCCGCCGGAGCTGCCGTTGAGGAGGTTGCCGCCCCCGGTGCCACCGCCCCCGCTCTGCTGCGAGTGCGAGGAGGTGGTGTCCAGGTAGCCTGTCGGGAATATGTACTGTGAGTCGAAATTGTATATGTACGAGTAGGATGAGGAGTTGAATTGGTTGGCGTTGTTGGCAATATTCTGTTGTTGTTGTTGGTAGTGATCTTGTTGCTGTTGTTGTTGCTGGTGTTGTTGTTGCTGCTGTTGCTGGTGTTGCTGCTGCTGCTGCTGGTGTTGCTGTTGTTGGTGGTGCGAGTTGCCACTCCCACCGCCACCACCGCCTCCACTGCCACCGCCCGCCAACTGCAGCGTATAGGCATTGTATTCATGCTCGAATTTTGTTATAACATGTGCCTCATTATCGTTATTGTTATTGTTGTTGCTGCTGGTGGTTGTGTTGCTTGTGTTGTTGTTGTTGCTGCTACTGGAGGTGGTGTTGTTGTTGTTGCTGGCAGCAGCTAGGGCGGGGCTGGAGGGCTGCTGCTGCTGCTGCTGCTCCAGCTGCATGCTGAACGGCGATATATTCAGCGACGATATGAACTGTACGGTCGCCTGTTGCTGATCCATTTCTAATAACATTTCTAAATCAAGTCGAGATTTGGATTCCTTTTACTTGTCGGTTCTTTGAAGTTATCTTACTTTTCCTGGACGGAACTTGGAAATGTTTTATCCTTTTAATATTATATTTATTTTTTCAAACTGTATTGCTCTTGTAAGGTAGTTCTAGTTCTAGTTCTGGTTGTAAAATAGATCCATGTAATTGTTTTGGTTTGCATACGGTGGTCTGGTCTTTGAACTCAAATTCTTCTCCTTTTTTATTTGCAACATTTTTAAGGCCAACGCGATGACATTCAATTGTCAACAGAATGTATCATTATATTTATTTTTAATTTCTTTAAAAGAAACGTATTTTAGAAATATTTTGGAATTGTGTTGATTCTTTGAAAGAAGTGGTTTTTTTATTTCTTTAGAAGAAAATTATTGAAGAGACTTGTGTGATGATTTTGGGGGTTTTGTAGATCCTTGCTTTTGATATTTTTTTATTTTTTAACAATTATTCTTTAGAAGAAGTTTGCGTTGTGAAGTTTTTGTTTATTAAATTGTTATTTTTTTTTGCAGGTACTTTGACGAGGTGAGTGAGATAGATATTTAAATATTTAATATTTAATATTAATATATGTGTAGACAGCAAAAAGGATGATTTGTTTATAAACTTGATTCGTTTGTTTGTTTGTTTGGTTTGTTGCCTGGATAGAGGTAGGACTTTATAATCTATATAGATCTTAGCTTGATTGTGTGCGTTGAATTGAAACTTGCAGATATAAACACTTTTGGCTTTCTTAGTACTATTATATATTTTTCACTTTTATTTTTTCGTTATTTACTAGAAGATGTATTCTTTTTTGTGGTTTTGGTTTTTTGAAAGTGGGTCAGGCGACAGCTGTGCTGCTCACGAACGAATTTATTTATTGCACTATTTTGTTTGAAACAAATTTTGTTGCTTTTTTGTTGCTTTTGTTGTTGTTGTTTTGTTGTTTAAACAATTTGCATTGCACACTCACACACCTACACATGCGACACACACACTCACGCAACGCAGCAAGAGAACATAATCCTGGGGCTGTTCTGCTGGGTGGGACGTGAGGTGCGGCGATTAAATGTGCAATTCAATTGCAATCAGAATTCGATTTCCGATTGCCGTTTTTTTTTTATCTTTATCTTTATCTTTATCTTTTTGATTTGAAATTATTTTTGCATTTTTGGGTCAAAAACCAACACACACACACTGAGTGACACACTACTTACAACAAAGATACACGCGCGACGCACATTTGTTGTTAATAATATTATATATTCGTTGTAAGGTGTAGCTGGTAGCTCTTGTGGCATATATAGCGGGCATATACTAGCTCTGTGTATATATATATATGTATGTATGGCCAGATATATGTGTGTGTGTAAATTGCTATGCGAAAAACACGACCAACATCAACCACGTATCTCGATTGACTAAACCCAAGTAAACGGCGAGGATACCGCAATACACTACACTACACTGTCACTGCCTCTGCCGCTGCCACTGTCGCTGCCGCTGCGCTGCACTACCTCGGCTGACGTCGCTCACTCTCGCTCTCACTCGTCGGCCATTTCGGTTATTACGTATACGCTCGGTGCGCCGCTCGCCAGTTTCACTTTCAATAGCCGTTGCGCCGAGCCCGCTCTCTTTCTCTTTACTCTCTCTCTCTCGCGCTGTGTGTGTGTGGGTCTCTCTCGCTCTCTGTAGGGCTCTTGGCGGCAGCGCTGCTTGGCTTGACTTAGTGCCCCCCTTTTTCGGGGGCTTTGTTTTTGTTGGTGTGTGTTGTGTCGCTTTTGAAATTCAAACTCAAAACCAACTCAAGCTGCGAGCTGAAAGCGAAAGTGAAACTTTTTTGGCCTGGCTTTGAGCCACTGTTAACCACTGTACACTGTACAGTGTACAGACAACAACAATAAGTCATTCTTTACGGATATATACACTTAGAAATAAAGTACCTGAAAGTTTGCGAAGCTATTTTTAAGTTTTATATATTTTTTCCAATTTCAAGTACATTACTTATTATTTTTCAAGTGTAGATGTGCGAAGCAAACGGCATTATGAAAGCCTTTAAGCCTTAACTCTTCAAGTGGCTATTTTGTAATTTCTTACTCACTCAAATAAACTGGGAATTTTTGGGGTCTCTTCTTCAGCAGTTTTGTAGTTTCTTTTGAATTTTTTTTTTTTTGGGGTTTTGTTGGTAAGTTGGTGGTGCTGCTTCTTCTGCTGCTGCAGCTGCTTGGTTTAGTTTCTTCTTTCCGTTTTGTGTCTGTGTTTTGGTCTCAATTAGTTTGTGGGTTTCTCATTGTTGTTTTTGGCGCTGTTGTTGCATTTGTTCATGACACGGTTTTCATGTGGCGCGTTTTCGTTTCCTATTTCTATGTTTTTGTTATTGTTTCGCCTATTCATACATATTTTTTTATATATTTTTTTTATTTTAATAAGTATTATTGCTTTGGGCTTTTTTCTGGCTTAATATAAAGCTATTGTGTTTTTTGGATTTCTTGGTTTATGCATTTTTTTTTTAAGAAACAGTTATTAAGCTGACGAGAGGGAATTTTTTATAAGCTTATTTGTCATACTTTTTAAGTTATTAGCATTATTATTTATTTATTTATGGTTTTTATCTTTACACAAATCCATTGAAAATTATTTCCAACCAAAAAAAAATCAATTAGTGCTGCGTATACGTAATATTTTAAGGGTAATTAACTTTGCTCCATGGGAACAGGGGATTGGAAAATAACTCATTAAAAAAGGCAAAATTTTAACAACTCTGCGGTCCCAAATAAGGACGCCTCGATACAGGGCTCGAGGAGAGACCATTAAGCTGAAAAATATAAAAAAAAAAACACAGAAGAAACCCAAAAGATTGCATAAGATTTCGCCGAAAGGAGCATAAAATACAGGCATGGGTTCGCAAAATAAACTTTCACTCCCCAGAGTCTCTGAAGTTCGATTCCTTAACTAACCAAAAACGGAACTAAAAGCGCAAAAAACGAAACAGGCCCTAAAAAACAAAGGTAACAGCTCCGCTCCAACCAGAGATGACACCCATTAAAATGCAACGTTTTGTGGCCAGTTCATGAATCACAAAAATGCCGAAAAATATGAAACAAAAAAAAAAACCCAAAACGAGACCAGGAAAGGGGGAAATCCCCAAGAAAACCACATGAAATGCAGTTAAGAGGGAACTTTCATCGATGCACGTGAAACGATGTCTTCCCCCATCCCTATTTCTTGCACCAAAGGGGGGCAGCTCTCTTTCTTCTGTTTGCGGATGACGCAAAGGTGGAGGAGAGTTAAACACGTTTGCCACCTTCATGTAGGTTGCTGGGGGATTACAACATTTCAACGCTCAATTACCAAAGATGAAAGAAGACGCAACTTCGAGACAGAGCCGAGGCTCTGTCTTCTGCTCTACAAAAACAACAACAACACACACACAAATATATGTATTATATGTATAGGCAAATATTACGAAATGGCCAAAACGCACTCAAAAGTTTACTTAAGAAAACAAAAGGCAAAGGCAAATTTTCATTTCCTCCCAAAAAACAAAAAAAAAAAAAAAGTTAAGAAAATAATGTTCGTGACCGTAGCCAACAAGACTTTGGATCTTTGATCATATGGACAGCAGGTAATGACAAAATACACAAAGACACACAAAACAGTTAATACAGATGGGGTTAAGTATTTAAAGTTATTTTAAAATTCTAAAAAATATTAATAAAAAATTATAAAGCGATTAAAAAAATATTACTCATTAGCTTATGATTTAAATTTATGTTTATTTTTTAACATAATCATATTTCTGCTGATTATCAGTTTCAAAAACCAACCCTGCGTATGAGTAATTATCAGCCAACAGTGCGTATACTTAATTACTCATACGCACTGTGGTCTATATCTCCCAAAAACTAGGCAATATTTTTTTTTTATATATTTTTTTTTTTTAATTTCAAAAACAATAATTGAAAATACTATTATTTTAACCTCAACTGTTGCTACGTTTCACTCTCACTCTCGGTTTTGTTTGATTCATGCCAGCTTCGGGCCAAACAGGTTTTTGGGCTTAAGCTGATAGCGAAAGAGCGATACGAATGCGAGAGGAGACCTACTTCTGCATCACTAACAGCAACAACAACAACAACAAAACGAGAACAGTCACAACAACAAGAGAAGCAACAGCTTCCACTTCGCTACTCCATTTAAATGGCTCCGTGTAACCGTTGCCCAAATATGTATGTTAGTCTGCTTATGTTGGTATGTAGGGTTTTTCTGTCTCTGTTTGTATGTAATACCATGTCTGCATATATGCACCCAAAATAAGATCTGTTTTGGAGTTCTCGTTTTTTTTTTTACTTCTCCCCTGTTTCGTTTTGCGTTTACGTTTACGTTTAAGTTTAACGTTTGCCTTTTTGACTTGCGCGCATGCGCAATGACTTTTTCGACAGTTGTTTGTCAATCGCTGGCAGGCTT